TCACTACAGAAGCCTGATGATGGCAGATGAGATTCTGCCGAAACGTTGCTACAACTTTAAAAGCACAACTACAATGACGTGGGAAAATACCCGAACAAAGCTGAATGCCATACATGTAAGTACCCGCGAAAACTTAAGAAAACAAATATACATATATATATATACCATTCCAAATCTTACTCAGCCATGAATTTAAGAATTGATCTTTGACCAAGCAACCAATACCCAGTCCCTGTCATTAATATTCACATACCATCCCACAGCCAGAATTGGACAGGTGTCATTTCAATCTCATAGAAGAAACCATAGCTCAGTCTTGCATGCAAGCTTGAAGTTTGGTCTCTACCTCATATCTGCCTAAGGTCCTGACTAACTTTCTATTAAACAAACCAGAATCAATAATCAATATTTTCATCTATAGTTCCGCTTTCTATTTCACACTGATGTTTTTAATGTAATTAATATGGATATAATAGGCCTCTTCCCAAGGAGGTAACAGAACCAGAACCGAAATGAGTTTGCCAAGCAAAAGTAGGTATTCAGAGGAATATTGAGATTTAAAGAAATCTGAAAATAAATCTCAAAAGTTAACAACTGCTCAAAGGTCACCAGAAGCTACTGAATACCTAAACAGCAGTTGCGGGAGGGACTAAAAACAGAAAAACAAATAGAGGGCAAGGCTTACACAAAATGCCTTTAACAGTTTAAAGTTGGGGATTTGTCTGGTCATGAGTCCGAAAACTCAGAAGACACAACCTCTGGTCCCAGAGACCGACCCAGATTGGGCCCTGCAACATTATCCTGAATGTCGCATGTATATTTGCCTTCATTTGTGAATTCAGAGATGCCTCTCAGACTAGCACTTTCTAGCTATGTGGGAACCACAGAACTGCAAACTCACGTTCACTAAGACAACTAGAACTTATCCAGAGGTGGGATTCAGCAGGTTCTGACCGGTTCTGGAGAACCAGTAGCGGAAATTTTGAGTAGTTCGGAGAACCGGCAAATACCACCTATGACTGGCCCCGCCCCCCATCTATTCTCTGCCTCCCAAGTCCCAGCTGATTGGCTGGGACTTTTTTTTTGTTGCCTTGCACAGGAGAATGGAGCTGGAAAGCAGGTTAGTGGGGTGGGGAGGGAATGGGGATTTTGCAGTATCCTTCCCCTGCCACGCTCACCAAGCCACACCCACCAAGCCACGCCCACAGAACCGGTAGTAAATAATTTTGAATCCCACCACTGCTTATAATCCCAATACCCTCTGGAGCATCCTGGGTTAGAAAAGGTTGTTCTAAGATACTTCGAAAGAAGACATGATCACGAATGCTCTTGTTACAAAACAGGTTCTGAATATCATTTTTTAAAGCAAAACTTCAGAAAAAACTTCAAGATATACCGATACTACACAAACTCGTTTGATACAGAACCCAAGAAAAGGTAGTCCTCAACTTATGACAGTAATGGAGCCTGCCAATTATGGTTGTAAGTCGTGGTCATAAAGTGGATCATCACATGACAGTCTCAATTTATTTATTTATTGCAGAGTCTTTTAAGCAAATGTGGCAGTCATATGGCAAACACTGCAGTAGTTAAAAGAGAATCCATTGTTCTCTATGGAGCATTTTTTGCAGTGGCGCAGTAGTTAGAATGCAATATTGCAAGCTAACTCTGTCCATTGCCAATAGTTCGATCCTGACTGGCTCAAGGTTGACTCAGCCTTCCACCCTTCCGAGGTCAGTAAAATGAGGACCCAGATTGTTGAGGGCTATGTAGTGGTGTATAAGCCTAACTGCTATCGCTAAATGTCAATTTCTGGCAAACACATTGTAAGTTGTGATCACATGACTGTGAGATGCTGCTAACAGACCAAAATGTGGTCATGTCTCCACAGGAGATGGGCAGCACCTATTGTAACATTGAACAGTCGCTAAGCGAGCAGTTATAAGTGGAGGACTATCTGCATATCATCCCACTGCTAGTCATGGTTGATCTTTACTCCTCCTCTTGGTTGTAGGGAAGCCATTGTGTGCCAATGCCAACATCCTACCTTGTATTCCTGTGAGGCATCATCCAAGGACACAACCGTGTGAGAACGGTGTTCGTGGGAGATCTCGCATGCTAAGCAAACTGCCTCCTGGTCTTCCTTACAGAAGAGGCGAAGCACTTCATTATGCTTCTCGCATAAGTTCTCATCCCGTATCTTTCGCTTATTGGTGACCTGGAGTTGCTTGGCAATCTCCACCATGTTGCCGAGCTGCCGGTTGGGCTTCAGAGAGCGGTGGCGGAAAGTCTTACGGCACACGGGGCATGGGAAGTCTCGGTTCAAATCCTCCCACCAGCGGGTGATGCACACCCGGCAGAAGTTGTGGCCACAATCGATGATCACAGGATCTTTCAGGTACTCCAGACAGACAGAACAGCTGGCTTCCACTTGGAGGTTCTCCAGAGGATTTGTGGTGGCCATGGTTCCTGTAACACAGATGGGAAGGAACATCTCAGTCAGAATCAGCCCAGTTTAATATTTCACTGTGTAGCCATCCCACCCCTTCTCTAGCAAAGCCTACATGTGCTCTTCGTGTAAGACACTGAAAGATTGTGATGACAAGTGGAAATTGCTCCTTTTTTGAACTTGGGAGATTAGATGGTCCTCAACTTACAACCACAACGGAGCCCAAAATTTTTGTGGCTAAGCAAGGCAGATAAGTGAACTTTGCCCCATATTGCAACCTTTCTTGACACAGTTAAGTGAATTACTGCAATGGTTAATTTAATAACACAACTGTTGAGTGACTCTGGCTTCCCGCATTGACCTTGCGGCCCTGGTTGCCAAGCAGCCAAGTTTTGATCATGTGACCGTGGGGATCCTATAATGGTCGTAAGCATGAAAAAGTTGCTCTTTTCAGTGCAGTCGCAACTAAATAAATGGCTGTAAGTTGAGGGCTATCTGCCCCTCCTCTGAAATTCAAAGAGGTTTCACTTCAAATAAAAGTCAATAGTTTAGTTTAGTTTACTTTATTGTCATTGCACCTCGTACAACAAAATCAAACACCATCTTCAGTGCACACCATGACCATGACCATGAAAATAAACACAAGCACACATCCTTCACCCTTCACACATTGAACCGAAAACCCCCGACACCGCACCAACACTGCACTATAAAGCAGAATTTAAAAGAGCTACTGCCCTGGGATAGAAGCTGTTTTTCAGCCTATTTGTCCTTGTTTTTATTATTCTGTACCATCTGCTAGATGGTAATAGTTCAAAAAAAAAGGGGGGGGGGTCCCAGGATGAGATGGATCTTTGAGAATGTTTTGAGCTTTCTTAAGGCAGCAGGAGCTATAAAGCTCTTCCAAAGAGGGGAGAAGGCAACCAATGATCTTCTGGGTAATGACATTAACCCTCTGGAGTGGTGTCCTATCTGCCACTGTGCAACTGGCAAACTATACAGAGGTGCCGTACTCTCTATGGTGCAACAGTAGCAGGTCACCAGCAGTTTTTCATTCAGTTGTTGTTTTCTGAGAAGTCTCAGTTAGTATAATCTCTGCTGGGCCCTTTTGACCAGGGCTGCAATGTAGGCACCCTAGGTCAGATTCTCTTTTATGGTAACACCCAGAAACTTAAAACTGGCCACTTGCTCCATTTGGTCTCCATTGATAAACAAGGGCTGGATGTCTGATCTGTTCCTTCTGTAGTCCACTATAAGCCTCCTTGGTCTTATTGGTGTTGAGGACCAAGTTATTGTCTCCACACCACGAAAGCAACCGGTCGTATTACCAACAAAGGTATTGAACTAGTGGACATCCTACCAACAAGCACAGCAGGACTGGGAAGGATCTGGACAGCCAAGAGCTGAGAAGCCAAGAAATGGATGGCATGACTGCCAATAAACCTTGTAAAGGTATCGGAAGCAAGATTGATGAATCCAAGCAAACCAGCAAAATCGAGAAGATCAGATCTCTTTCAGCATAACTTTATTGAGTACATCATTTCGGCACGCGTGAAGCAAAACCAACTCTAGCTATTTCCTGCGATTTTCGCATAATTAATATTTCCCTCCCCTCCTTAGCACAGGTCACATTGTCCAAATTAGGTGTTCTGGTATCTCCCTGGTCACTTCCTTCAAGTCTCTGGCAAACACCCATTGAGATGACCTTGGTTCTCACAATAAGACCTCTTCTTCTTGTTATCTGGGCTAACATTCCAAACCTCTCCCTCTCCTCCCCCCTCCCCCCCCCCAAAAAAAATACTGTGTGGCAAGCTGAGAAACGAAAAGATGGCTGCGTCAACATAGACATGCTTCAAAGTTGACAGGGGTATCAAGAATTCTAAATGGGCCAATTCAGGGCACCTCCCATGATGGGAAACGTTCAAGTGACCAAAATTAATCCACCTTTTCTTATTTTGTCTCCTCAGTTATTGGTCAAAATAGTGTACAATCACTATTCAAAGGACAAAAAATAAATAAAAATCCAGAGCATTCTACAGTAATAAATCTACATAATGAAGCAATTAGCCTACAACATACACAACCAACTTCTATTCTAGTTTTGAGCAATCAAAATTTCCACACCAGCTATGAAAATGTGATGGAGCCAAAGGAGTTTCTCTAGAACAGGGGTGTCAAACTCATGTTGTCACGTGATGTATCAGGACTTTCCCCCCTTCACTAAACCAGGCATGGGCCATGGCCAACGCATGATGCATCCAGCCCACGGGCCAGGAATTTGCCAGCCCTGCTCTAGAACGTCTCTGGATTATACAGTTCCATCACTATAGAAACTATAAGCAGAGTTGCACCCCACATTAAACTCTGTTATTCTGGCCTTGGTAACGAGGAAGGAGGTAGCGGAATGTCTATCCTGCCCTGTCACAGCAAAACTACCACAAGCTAATATTTACCCCCTCCATGAGATTAAACTGTTGGGTAGCTGTGATCAATGGCTTGAACAACACTCTACCTACCCCTTGTTTCGTTTATCTGGAGCTGATCAATTATCACAGGCATCTTCTTCTTTGGGCAAGAGTGAGGACAGTCGAGATTTATCCACTGGAGCTGATGAGTGAAAGCACCCAAATATGGAGGCTGATTCCTTTCGTTTCTTCTTTTAACACCAATTTATCTTGCAAAATAAGGTATTTCTGCTTATCTGGTCATGCCAAAAAGAAAGCAAAATTAAAATTAATAAATACAGCACTTCATATTCATAGAACAGCTTCTGTAGCTCAAAGCACATTAAGTATATTATCTACAAACCTTAAAGAACACCAATACAGAGAGTACTCAACTTACAACCGCAACTGAGCCCAAAATGTCACTGCTGAGTTATGAGCATTTTTTTTTATTTTTCTGCCACAGTTGTTAAATGAAGCACTGCAGTTGTTAAGTGAATTGTGTTGTTAGATGAATCTGGCTTCCCCCATCAACTCTGCTTGTGGGCAGCTGGGTAGGAAGGTTACAAATGGTGACATGAACCTGGGACAGTGGAACTGTCATAAACAATTAAGCCACCTTGAGTCGCCATGTGCGAATAGGTGGCAATATATATATTTTTTTAAATAAATACATGCACCCACATTTTGATCATGTGACTCTGAGGATGCTGTAATGGTCATAAATGTGAAAATTGGTCCTAAGTCACCTTTTTCAATGCTACTGCAACTTTGAACTGTCACTAAGTGAGGACTACATGGTTTACATTATTTCACCCAAATTGTAAATGTCTCACTGACCTAAAAATAATTTCTGGTTCAAGAAAAATCTGAATTCACAATCATTTGACTCAGCCCTTACCTTCACAAAAGATATGTTACACAGAAATTCCTGATGATTGTTAGGATTTTCCTAGTCCAGGGGTGTCGAACTCAAGGCCCTTGGGTTGGATCTGGCCTGTGATGTGGTTGCATCCGGCCTGCGGGGCTGTCCTGGTCTACCCAGTGCGAAGAGGAAACATGCCAGCAGTTTGGGGAGTGGCATCAAACTGGTCATGCTCACCAAGTTGGGCCACATCCACCCACTCGGCCAAGCCCGCCCGGTCTTCCAAGGTCATGGAGGTCCTGATGCGGCCCTAAATGAAATTGAGTTTGACACCCCTGTCCTAGACAATCAGTGACATTGCCAAAGGTGTAAGGCTATTCAATGACTGCAAAGAAGGATACCGATACCACTATTTTAAATGTGATCTAAGAACACGATTCCTCTCCATAACACAAAGTACAATGTATTGATTGCAAGAAAAACAGAAGCCAGAGCTATGAGTGTCATGGTCAACAAGTGGCTAATCTCCCAAATTGATTGACAACAATGAGCACTTTTTGCTTCCCAGAAAAGGGCTTACAAAAGGGCAATCTTTCGTTTAGGCATCCAAACAATTGATATGCCAAATATTCCACCCACTTTCACTTCCGAAAACACCTGCCTTTTTAAATTTGCCTTTGCTCCCTTTCCTTCAGAATGTTGTGCTTGTGTGAAAACCAGTTTGTCAAAACTTTCGGTCTGTTGAGATACAGATTTGCACCAATCCCCTGAAGAACACACAACAATCTGCTTCATAGAACAGCTGTTTCTCTGCCCAGAGACCCTCTTTACTTGAAGGAGAGGAAATTATTCTCTCCCTCAACATTCAGAGTTACAATGTCCCTGAAAACGTGACTTATGACCATTTTACAAACTTATGCTTCCATGGCCATGTGATCAAAATTCATATGTTTGGCAACCGACTCATTATTTATAATGGTTCCAGTGTCCTGGGGTCATGTGATTACCTTTTGCGACCTTCTGACAAGTAATGCTAATGGGGAAGCCAGATTCACTTAACGACCATGTTACTAACTTAATAACGGCAATGATTCACTTAACAGCTATGGCAAGAAATGTTGTAAAATGGGAGCAAGATTCACTTAAACAACTATCTTGCTTTGCAATAGAAATTTTAGGCTCAATTGTGGCCGTAAGTCGAGGACTACCTTCATTTCACCAGTATTGCAAGAGCCCCACCTGGTTGCCTAGCCCAACCCCCTCCTAGAAAGAGACCACAGGTGAGTGGGTGCCTATCTGTGACAAAGGGGTGGGGAAGCAGGCTTGATCCGGTGCGTTCAATGCTCTAGCACAGGTGTGTCAATCAAGGCCTACGGGCCGCATTCGGCCTGCAGGGTGCTTACATCTGGCCCATTGGGCCACCCTGTAAACAGTAAAGGACCAGCCCAACTGACAGTGAAAACAGAGCTCAGGAGGGCTCCATGTCCCCCCCCCCCCCCCCCCAGCTCAGTTTTTGCTGGCAGAGGGTTGCAGGAGGCCGTTGCAGCAGAAAACGAAGCTTGGGAGCCCTTTTTCGCTGGCAGAGCACTTGGGCCCCAATAGGCGCCCCTGACACAAGTGATGTCAAACTAGCCACGCCCCCCACGCACCCCCCCCAAGGACAAACCTTGATGCGGCCCTCAATATAATTGAGTTCGACACCCCTGATCTAGCAGGTTTGAGAAAGGGGCTTCGTCCCAGGACAGCCACACCAGCAGATGAGAGAGACCCAACAATCCCAGAAGAAAAAACAGGAGTCTTCTACAACAGGGGTCTCCAACCTTGGCAACTTTTAAGACTTGTGGACTTCAACTCCCAGAATTCTTCAGCCAGGTATGTCCCACAACAGGTATTTAACTGCAACCAGATGGGCTTGTTTTGGAAAAAGCTTGCTGAAGAATTCTCGGAATTGAAGTCCACAAGTCTTAAAGTTGCCAAGGTTGGAGACCCCTGATCTACAAGATACAATGTAAGGACTGCCAACAATTACTATGTAGGACAAACAGGCAGAAGACTGGCATTGAACACCAAGCAGCAGTCAGAAGACATGATGAAAATTCTTTAATTTCACAACATAGAGTTTAAAAACCATAGTTTAAATTGGGAAAATGTGACCATCCTAGAACAAGCCAAGTTCAAAAATGCCTGGAAATTTCTAGAAGCTTGGCACTCTGACAAATCAGTCAAAAGACACACAGACATTAACAACATTTATAGACTATGCAAAAGAGACAATCAACCCAGACAAAAAGGAACAAAAAGACCAAGCAGTCAGCACCCAGTTCAGCACAGATTAACTCCAAGGTTAACATCAGACCACAATCAAGTAAACAACAACCCAGTCAAGAAACTGCCAAAGAAGCCAACAATAAAGAGCCCAGCCAAAGAATCTCTAAGACTGCCCCCACTAATAGTGAAAGGACAAGCCACTAGAATATAAACTGGGAGAAAACCCAATTTTTTATTAACACTGATGATGTTACCCAGTTTGGGTAAAGAAAAGTCTATAAGAAAACAATCAAGCTGAGAGAACACCAAGGACTCCTGGATAATTATCTTATATAGATTGGAGAATGGATCTTTCCAGCTGTTACCAGTCCCTTCCAGCTGGGATCCTCTCCAGCTTTTCCATACTAGAAAGCCCCCCCAGACAGGACTAGGACACTTCTGACCTCACCCTAACTTAAAAGTGGCTTCTTACAATTATGCACACTCCTGTGCTAGTCCAGCTTCTCTAATTACTGCTCTGCAAATGGTTTGGGAATTAAGTTCCCAGTCTAGTTGGGAGGTTTAAAAAGGCTTTGGGTATCACCTTTTATATCAAACACTTGTCAGGCAAACCACCAGAATATATTAACTGAGTGCATACTACACTCCTTACTAACACTGATGGTGTTACCTAGTTTGGGTAAGGAAAAGTCTATAAGAAAACAAGCTGAGAGAACACCAAGAACTCCTAGAGAATTATCTTGTACAGATTGGAGAATGGATCTTTTCGGGAAAAGCTCAAGAAATTGACTTTCCAACTTTTACCAGTTCCTTCCTGCTTGGATTCTCTCCAGTTTTTACTGGAAAGCCACTCAGGAGTAGGACATGTCTGACTTCATCCTAACCTGAAAATGGCTTCTTAAAATTATGCACTCTCCAATGCTAGTCCAGCATTCTCCGAATACTGCTCTGCACATGGTTTGGGAATTAAGTTCCCAGTCTAGTTGAGAGGTTTAAAAAGGCTTTGGGTTAAGAATGCAACCCCTTTTATATCAAACACGCTTCTTTGTTAGGCAAGCCATCAGAATATAAACTCAGGGCAAACCCCCCTCTTTACTAGCTAGCACTGATGACGTTACCCAGTTTGGGTAAAGGAAAAGTCCCTAAGAAAACAGCCAAGCCTAGAGAGGACCAAAGATTTCAATGCCGAGCTTCAAAATATTCTCCTTTATTAGCAACCTACCTTCCATGTAAATCAGGCGCGGGCGAGTCAGAGGGGAACGAGCGCTGGCCGCCGCGCTGCCCGTGGAGGAAGGGCTCGATCCCTCCTCGGAGGGTCCAACGAGGCGGGCAAAGGCGGGACTGCCATGGGGCTGCACCACCCTGGACGCGCCTGGCTAGACAGCCGCCATTAGGGCCAGCCAGCAGCCCCGGCCCGCGGCGACTCCTTCTCCTCCTCCCGCTCCCTCACCTGCCTCCCTCCCCGCCAAAGTCTCAGTCCCCGTGGGCGGCAATCGGGCTCCCTCCAGGGCCTAGTCCGCCTCCAGCCGCCTTCATCTTCTTCCCCAACGCAGAACACTCTCCGCTCTGGCGTCACCGGAAGCGGCCCTTCTAGCCCCGCGGAGACCATCGGATCCAGCAAGGCCTGTTCTGGTCTCCGACTCGATGGTGAGGAGGACTCTTGGCCATCTTTTCTTTTTTTTTTAATCGAGAATCACAGTCGCAGCCGGGGAGGCGCCGGGCGGGAGAAGGCAGTCCCCGCCCGAAACAACCGCGAGAGGAGAAGAGAGCGAAAGAGGCGAGAGAGGGAGAAAAAGCCACCGAGGTTCCAACCAAGGGGGAAAAGGGCGCCTCTCACAATAAGGCGACCGAGATTTCTTCCTTCCTTTTTTTTTTCTGGTTTCTTTTGCTTTTGCTGCTTTCCAAAGGCGGCGGGAGCGTGCAAGAATCGAGGAAAAGGGTGGACCGAGGGAAAAATTAAATTAAAAAATAAACATAGCTTGTATCAGGTAGTACCACTAAAATAAAGTAATAAATAAAAATATAAAATTATGCGTATATCCACATTTATAGATTATATGACACAGGGAAACAACACAGTGTATTTTTTGCTTTTGTGAAGGTGCTTGGCAAGCAGAGCATTGTCTAGAATTCTTCCAGCTGAAATAAGACTTTCAATTACCTGGGAATAAATCCATATTAAACCAGTCAAACTTTTAGTAGATATTCACTGTGTAGCTTGGCTAAAGCAACCTTCTGCCCTGTGTGTTTTAGGATTCTCGTCTCTTTCTCTCTCTTCTCCTCTCCCGGTTGTTTCGGGCGGCGACTGCCTTCGCCTCCGCCCGGCGCCTTTCGTCGTGCACCCTCGTCCTCCCCCGGCTGACAGCTCCGCCGCCGCCGCCGCCGAGCCATGGCCCCACCGGGACCCCGGACAAGCACAGGGCTGCTTTCGGGGGCTCCCGTGAGGGGTCTGGATCGGGATCTGAGCCTCTTCATTCCACCCCACTCCAGCTTTCGGCTCACACGTCCCGCTCTCGCTCCCGTTCCCCTCTGCCCGGAGCTGCGCCTCAGACGCGCCCCGTGAGAACCACCCCACCCCAACCTTCGTGTAAGGGTGCCGCTTGGGGAACGAGAGAGAATGAGCCAGCGAGGAGGAGGAGGAGGAGGAGAGGCAGGCGCGAAACAGAGTGCGGGCGGGAGGTGCCGGAGAAGATGAGTGAGTGCTGCACGCGATCCTGAGCCCCCTGGTTGACTATTTTTTATGATTTGATCATTTAAAAACAGTTTTAAAAAAAACAAAAAAACACTATATCCTCATGTTATATTGCATAAAAAAATTTGGCCGTGAGAGAAAATTATTTGGCCGTATTTTGACTTGAGTTTGGCCGCAGAGCCAACCTGCGATCTGGCAACCCTAAACTTGCTTTAAGTGCTATGGACTTCAAATGCCAGAGTGACGCCCGCAACTCCTAAAAGTTCCCACGGATGTAAAAAAAAAACACGCTGATTTATAAAATGCTGGTTCTTACCATAGTTGTCTGCTGAAAGCCAGCAATGCTATTTATGCAATGCAACTGAGAAGAGAAACAAAAACCGCGTAGTTCACAAATCTTAAAGTTGGCAAATTTGGAGAGCCCTTCCTTTAGACAAGACCCACACCCTGCAGATGAGAAAACGAAACTTATGCACTTGCTAAAGGAAGTGGAGGCACAAATTCTGCGACGCGTGCGTGCATGCAAGAGAGAGCAGCACCAAGGGACCCTCCACCCTCATTTCAACCCTGAACTACAAATATTCTTCTTTATTGAGACTTCTTTTGCAACATTTTTACATCTGGTCGTGAACAAATATTTGGGTGGCAGTCAAACACGGGCACGGCTGATTTCTCCTTCGGCAGCATTTCGCTTGTAAGTGCCAAATTTCCTGTTGTTTCCTCTCAAGCTAGTGTGGCCATTGCACTAATTTTGCAATTAACCATGGCCTCTAATCAAGTGAAGAGTGGTGGGAATGTTGGTGGGAAGAAGGTTTTGAGGAAGATTGAAATGAAAGTGAAGAAGGAAATTATTGAAAAGTATGAGCGTGGTATGCGTGTTACCGATCTTGCTGCAGAGTACAATAAACCAAGCTCTACGATCTCGACTATTTTGAAGCAGAAGGTGGCTATTAAAGCAGCTAATGTTGCAAGTGGAGTGACGATGCTAACCAAGCAGAGGCCTCAAGTGCTGGAAGAGATGGAAAAGCTGTTGCTGGTATGGTTGAACGAGAAGCAACTTGCAGGCGATAGTGTAAGCGAGGCGGTCATATGGGAGGAAGCTAGGATGATACATTATAATTTGCGTCAGAAATACCCTTCTTCGAGTAGAGAAAGTGATGAATTTAAAGCCAGTAGAGAATGGTTTGAAAGGTTTTGTAAGAAAAATGGTATTGTGAGGCATGGAGAGGCTGCTAGTTCTGACACTGCTGCTGCTGCTGCTGCTGCTGCAGAAGCGTTCGCGAAAGATTTCGCTAAATTCGTGGAGGCTAAAGGATATGTCCCACAACAGGTATTTAACTGCGACCAGACGGGCTTGTTTTGGAAAAAGATGCCAAAGAGGACCTACATCACACAGGAGGAGATGGCTATGCCCGGCCACAAGCCAATGAAAGACAGATTGACCCTTCTGCTGTGTGCGAACGCAAGTGGTGATCTAAAAATTAAACCACTAGTTGTCTACCAATATGAGAACCCTCGTGAATTCAAGCAGCACAATGTATACAAGACCAGACTGCCCGTGATGTGGAGAGCTAATACAAAGGGTCTGGTCACAAGGAGCTTGTTTTTGGAATGGCTGCATGAGGCTTTCGTTCCCGCTGTTAGGGAATATCTTTCCAACAATCACCTGCCTGAAAGGTGCGTTCTTCTGATGGACAATGCACTGGCACACCCTCCCAGTTTGGTTGACCTAATGGACAATGAGTACAACTTCATTGAGGTCAAGTTTCTCCCCGCAAACACGACTCCTCTTTTGCAGCCCATGGACCAGGAAATAATTCCCATCTTTAAGAAGCTGTACACTAAGGGACTCTTCACCAAGTGTTTTAATGTCACCGAAGAGACGTCTTTGACCCTGAGGGAGTTCTGGAAGTACCATTTTAATATTGTTCATTGCCTCAGCCTCATCGACAAAGCCTGGGAAGATGTCACGTACTGGACCTTGAACTCAGCATGGAAGAAACTTTGGCCTGAATGTGTTGCTGAGCGAGATTTCGAACGATTTGAGCCCTCTGTTGTGGATGAGATTGTGTCCATGGGTAACAGCATGGGTCTTGAAGTCGACAGTGATGACATTGAGGAATTGATCAAAGATCACGATGAGGAACTGACCGCGGACGAACTCGTTGCACTCCAGAATGAGCAGCATAAGGTGCTCACTGAGGAGCAGTCATTGGGGGAAGAAGATGAAAGCGAGGTGATTAAAAGTGATGTGTTGAAAGACATCTTAAGAAAATGGAATGAGTGCCAGAATTTATTTGAAAAGCATCATCCCGACAAAACTCTTACGAATAGAGTGTTGAACATGATGAACGATCATTTAATCTCTCATTTCCGTAAAGTTTTGATGCGCAGGAAAAGACATGTCACATTAGAACGGCATTTGATGACTGTTGGTCCACCAGCTAAATTGATTAAAAAAACCCAAGAAACCTCTGACTCAGAAATCACTGAAGATGAAACATTTGAAGTTGAAGAAATCACAAGAGACAAAACACCTGAAGGAAAACGTCCTTCCATCGTGGAGGTGGACTCTCCCTCAAAACAGTAACACCTCCCTCTCTCTCTCTCTCTCTCTCCCTCCCTCTCTCCTTCCCTCCCTCCCTCTCTCAGAATTGACCAACTGAACAGTCTTTACTTGTTCAAGTTTTTGTCAGTGTTTGTATTAAAGGATTTTACATTTTACTATTTCACTGTGAGTTCTATGGCATAATTAACACTTCTGTCCTTAAAAATCTTTAAAAGACAATATTTATATATAGTTCATAGGGGTCTGGAATAGATTGATCATATTTATATACAATCCAATGGGGAAAGTAGGTTTGGGTTGCGACCAAAGTTACAGAACGAATTATGTTCATGACTAGAGGTTCCACTGCACTGTCTGTAAAAAGCTATGAGTGATTTTTTTGCACGTGTTATGACTTTATGCACAAGGGTTAATCAGAGGCAAGAGACCTCTCCTCTGACTCACTCTTTGCATCAAAACTGATCAAAGCGCAGCAACCGCCACTCAATTGCCTGCAAAGGAGCAAGAATTTGACCAGGGAAGAAGCCTTTGGGGTTTCGTGAAAGGTAACAAAGGCAGGGATACCCCTGGACGGCGGGGGTGGGTACATTTGCTGGTGGTGGGACCAACACGTGTTTTGAAAGACAGGATTGTTGGGGGTCACCGTGTAGTCTTAAGAGCTCTGAGAAATATCCAACCTATCTGGATGCTTCGCTTTCTTTATTCGATTCCAATCCTGCCTTTCCGTTCCACTGAACAGCCAAAGTCTGCAGCAAAAAGTCTCGGCCTGTGGTAAGCTAAGTGTTGCTGTGTCCTCCTGTTGCAGCAGATCCTGTTTCCAAATCAGGACACAAGACCACGAAAGGTTGGAGAATACAGGTTTTTATTTGTGCACAAAGTTCAGAGCATTAGAATGGCAAATTCTGAACCCCTGGCTCTTCCTGAGGCATCACTTTTATACATTTCATAACCTCAGCCTAGCCCGGGGCGTTTCTTATGTTAAACTATACCAAAAAGGAGTAGTACATTTCTGTTATTTTCCAGACCCATCCTTATTCACTGAAACGTGCTTACTTCCAGTTGCTTAGTTCAGCAATTTCGTGGTTTTGCACAGTATTTCTATAAGAAGCAAGGTAAGGGGCCAGAGGATTTCTGGTAAATGCATATTTTGTTTTTGACCTTCCAAGCTCTCACAGTGCCCGAAGGCTGTTAGGGGCTAGATGGGGAGCAACAGGTTGAAACTAAACCCTTGCAAGACCGAGTGGCTCTGGGTTTGGGGTTCATTGCCTCAGGAGAATTGCTACCTTTGGTCTTGGATGGGGTGGCACTACAATCCCGGTGCATAATCTAGGGGGTTTCCTGGATTCACGACTCCTGCTCGAATAGCAGGTGGCGGTCATGGCCAGGAGGGCCTTTGCGCAACTGCGAGTTGTGCACCAGTTACACCCTTTCTTGGACCAACGGTCCCTACTCACAATCACTCATGCTCTAGTAACTTCCTATCTTGATTATTGCAACGCGTTCTACATGGGGCTGCCCTTAAAGAGCATCCGGAAGCTCCAGTTGGTGCAAAACGTAGTGGCCGCATGGTTTTTGTGCAGACCCTGGTGTGCACATGTGTCACCTCTCCTGCAGGAGCTGCTTTGGTTGCCAATTTGCTTCCGGGTGCAATTCAAGGTGCTGGTTGTCACCTTTAAATCCCTTCATGGCTTGGGACCAAGTTATCTGAGGGAATGTCTCTTGCCAGTCACATCCACCCAACCTGGTAGAGCGAGGAGGCAGGGAATGTTGCGGGTCCCACCCGTGAGGGAGATACACCTGGTGGGACCCAGAAGAAGGGCCTTCACCATGGTGGCTCCCTCTCTGGAATATTCCCCCAGAGATTAGAATGGCCCCCACTCTAGCACTCTTCTGGAAGGCACTGAAAACCTGGTTTTGGCAGCGGACCTGGGGAATCCATAGCGGGATGGAGCCCATTAAATGGCTAGTGTGATCTGCTGTTGATGGGGCGGAGGGTGAGAGTTGGGGGGTGATTTTTTTAACAAATTTTTTCCAGATTTTGTTCTGTTGTACTTTATTGATTTATTTGATTTTGTTAGTTTTTATTGCTTTTTATTTTTTATTTTGCAAATATGGTTTTACATTGTATAAGCTGCCTCAAGTCGCCATGGGCAAATACGCAGCAACATAAATTAATTAAATTAAATTAAAATAAATAAATACAAACTAACAACCCAAAAGAGGGTTAAAGACCACGCTGCATGTCTTGTTGGAAAAGGCAATGGTGATTTTTCGAGAGTGGGGAAACTCGGAAGGGATTGTGAGTTTCTTGTGGATGGAGCACATTGGTCAGCCCTCACAGGCTCTGCTTTAAAAGCTTCACAACAAAGCTTCAGCAGAGGGCAGCATGAAGCCAAGTTTGGTGGAATCTCAGCAGGCTGGCCTCTGGCTGTTGGCCTCTTTTGCACATATTTTCTATCTCAAACAAGTGACTCTAGGCGAGGAATGGTTGTAAAATAGTTAAAAACAGTTATGATATAATACGAAAGGAAATATATACCTGCCAGACCAGAAGAAATGTCATCAAAGAGGCCATTATAACTCTTTATGGGTAAACTATGTGCGTTCAGGAAAGCTACACTGATGCAGCTGCAAAGGATCGGGTTGGAATGATTTGCGAATGGACCTTGTGGAGCTGAGAATCCCTTGCAGGACATCACTCAGAATAGACACCATTTCAGATGAGCTTGTTGTGGGATACCAGATTCCAACCATGGTAAGGATTCAAAAGGATCCAAGTAAGTGTGGCTGTGCCTCCTACTTTCACAGAAGACTGAATTAAGGTTGAATCCGTGAGCTTTTTGTCTGAGTAGATGTGCATTTGACTGCACTTTCAGAAAGGCTACAGGAGCAGATTACCTATCCATCCCTCCATTCCTCCATCCATAACAGGGGGTTGTGGTAGAAAACTGCTGGTAGAAAAAGACCTAATGGTCCATCCAGTCTGCCCTTTTGAGTTTTTAATTTGTGTTTTTCAGGAGGCAACTGGACTTTCTTGGATTGTTTTTTTTGGGGGGGGCGGGGGGGGGGGAGATGTTTCACTTCTCATCCAAGAAGCTTCTTCACTCTGAGAGGTTAGTGGGGAATGGAAGGATTTGTGTTCCTTGCAGACAGCTCGTCATTTGCCTCCTTTTAGAGCAGGGATGTCAAATTCACATCACGGCTGCATCATGTGACATATCAGGACTTCCCCCCCCCCTTCGCTAAACCGGGTGTGGGCATGGCCAGAATGTGACGCATCTGGCTCACCGGCTGGGAGTTTGACAGCCCTTGTTTTAGAGGGTCGTTGAAGCACTTGTGTTGAAGCACATCTGTGTCCTCAGGGTCACCTGAGTAGTGCTCCTTGTTCCTCTGGTCTGCAATTTTTCCTCTGGAAATCCATTCCTACACCCCAAATTGTATAGCTAAAAGACTGTAGATTCTCAGTCATCTAGTCATGGTTGCCCATTCTCCACTATCCTGTCAAAGCTGAAGAAGCTTGTTGGGTGGGAAGCAAAACGTCTTCAGAGAAAAAGCCAGAAAGTCCAGTTGCCTCCTGAAAAAAAAAAAACACCTGTGGGACAACCATGACCTGGATGACTGAGAATTTCTACAGAATTTATTTTATTATTTTTTCTTTTTGGGGGGGTCAGATGGTGGACATCTGTTTATCTCAAGCATATCAAAATATCTATCAATTACAGATAGTCCTTGACTTAGGACCACAGTTGAGCCCAACATTTCTGTTAAGTGAGTTTTGACCAGCTTATGACCTTTTTTGCCCCAGTTGTTAAGTGAATCACTGCAGTTGATAAGCTAGTAACCTGGTTGTTAAGTGAATATCTGGCTTCCCCATTGACTTAGTTTGTCAGAAAGTCCCACGTGACCTCAGGACACAGCAACAGTCATAAGTATGAACCAGTTTCCAAGCACCTGAATTTTAATCACATGATCATGAAGATGTTGCAGAGGTCATAACTTAGAAAAACGGTCATAAGTCCCTTTTTTCAATGCTGTTGTAACCTTGAATGGTCATTAAATGAACTGTTGTAAGTTGAGGACTACCTGTACTTACAGTTGATTTATTGTCTCTGCTGGAAGTTGATTCCAAGCTTCTGCTACTCTCTCTCTGAAGCAATAACTTCTAACATTATTTTTGAACTCCCACCTCTGTAGTTTGAGGTTATGCAGAGTTCTGACAAGAAAATTGAATTGTCCGTACTACAAGCAATAAGTGGGCCTCAAAATTCCCCATTGATGATGATACTGAAAAATTTTAATTTACAGATCAAACAGTTGAAAGTTGTTCCATGATCTCAATGTCCATCACTGGTATGGTTGATCCACCTACACAAGTACAAGCTGATTTCTGAAATATAGATGTGTGATTAAATTAAAAATCCAACTACCCACAGATTTTTTTAAAAAAATCCCTTCTTCTCTTTCCATGGCAAGGTCTATCCAAGCCTTTTCTGACAGACTTGGGAGTAAACAGGCATGGTTCAGCTTTGGTTACTTATAGTCTATCTTCTCTTCATCACGATGGGAGGTAAGTCCCTAATAAAAATAGGGATATATTGCCAATCTATTATTCCCACCCCGACAAACGTTTCCTGATGTCAATTATACCCGAAGCTCTCTTGGTTGAAAATTACTGATGGTCACCCAGATCTAAGGGAATAAAGCACGAAGCCTGCGAGTTGAGCGCTCGGCAGCACAAAAAAAGGTTGTTATTGCTGTTAGCATGATAAGATAGAGGTCTTCATTAGGCTCATTGGGAGAAAGTTTTAAATCCCCCCTTCCTATTAAATATTTAATATAGTCAAGGAGCCTTTGCTTCTAAAGTGTGAAAATGGGGATTTTGGCTGCATTAGGGTGAGCCCTTAGCTCCTGGCACTTCAGCTATATATGCCTTAGAAAAAGCCCAATACATTCCCCAGCCAGGTCTAATCTGTAACCAGAGGTTATTTTCATAGAATTAGGGGGATCTCTTTTCTCAGATAGGCTGAGAGAAGAACAAGAAATCCTCTTTATCTTTTACTATAT